AATTGCCTAAAATATACACACTTCAAAAATACTTTTTTGCATTTTCTTTCAACTTGTCATAAGTGTGTACAAAAAATATCAGTCTTTTGATTAGAAAAAAAAAAGAAAATTTGAAGAAGAAGCGAAAAGATACGTATTAATAATAAACCAGACAAAAATGCAATATATTTAAATAAGAGGAGACGTAACAAAAAATATTACATATATCAAAATGAAAGAAACAGAGACTGTTTATAATTTTGAAAGAGAACTTGAATACTTAGGAGTAACTATAATGAACACGAGAAAAGAAAAAAAAGGGATAAACAAAAGATTAATGAAGAAAAGCAGAGCAATAGGGTCACTAAATTCAATACTAAAGGCAAAAAATGTATCAAGAACAGCTATACTGTGAGTCTACAAGATAGTTATCAGACCCCCAGTGATATATGCCAGCGAAACGTGGACTATGAACCAGCAAGAAGAAAAGAAAGTAGAGATCTGGGAAATAAAGGTGACCAGAACAATCTTTGGAGGAATAAAGGCAGCAGAGAATATTTGGAGAAGACGAGTAAATAAAGAAATAATGAGGATATATAGAAAACTAGCAATCACGACAAAAATACGAGCTCAAATAGCTAGATGGCTTAGTCACATTATACGAATATCAGAGAATCGAAATGTTAACACAAGGCTAAAGGAGGAAAAAAATGGGGAAAACAAGAAGAGGACGTCCAAAGAAGACATGGTTGGAAGCAGTAAAGCAAGACTTGTCAGAAATAGGCGTGAGAAATTGAAAAAAGAAAGCAAGGGAGGGAAATAACCAATATTAAAAAAAGTAAACGCACAAAGAGCACGTTAGATGGGACATATTAATAGGATGCTCACAAACAGACGTGCAAAAAAATTGTTATATTATAATCTGTCTACCTTTGTATTAAATTATTTACTGATCTACCAACAAATTGTGCAAACTCTAAAATTCGTAAAATTTTATAAAAGATATTAATTTTCCGTATGTGTTCTCATAAAACAAATATCAGTTATTATGTATAAACCTTACCTTGAACTTTTCAAATTCTTCATCGTTCGATAGGAAACTATCCTTAGCTAGTGCTACAGTCACTATAGCAAGGATTAGGACAAATTTTAACATCATTATTAAGGTCTGCTATGCTCGTGTGATTGACGTAAAATCTAAACAGTTCTGTTTTTTTCATGTATTTATAACAGAAAATTTATCGTTAGGAAATTAAAGTTTTTCTTCCGCTTGTAATTGATAGTTAATTTTTATTTTATCACTCAATATACCTACAATTAATTGTATCACTAATCACGTTATTAAGAAATAGTTAACAAAGTTCATACCACATTACCCAAAAGTGTATATACCTACCATTAAGATATTAAACATTCAATTTGGTTAATTCCATATAATCAATATTTCATTAGTTATCCAAAATCAAGACTTCCATCAAATTTTAGACTTTCCGCTGTGACGGATGCATTATTTGAATAATTGTACTTATTTTTCTTTTTCAGTGATTTCTATTCAAAAAATCTTCAGCTTTGCATAACTTACATACAGGTATACTTCATTTATGAATTTTATATAAAAATTCTACTTGATGCTCGAGCTCGATGGTCAGAAAAACAAAGTTCAAATACGCCCACTGTAGATATTTTCAGAAACAATTGTTGTAATGTCGATGTAACTATTAGACTGGGATGTGATTCTAGTATAATCGTTTATAGTTACATTTAGATCAAAAGATGTTAATAGATTTTGAATATCAAAAGAAGGGCCAGATAAAATTTATATTAAAATCACCAAGTATTATCAGTTCTCAAAATTCACCAAAAACAAGTCAAAGTCAAGTATTCTTCTTTTTGGGTGCCGTCTTCAATGAAGGTTGGCGATAACCTCAGCAAAATCATTTCTGTCCCTGGCTTTTCTTATTAAAGATTGAGAATCCAAACCAGTCCACTCACGAATGTTCTTCAACCAGGACGCCTGCCGTCTACCAGGACCACGTTTTCCTTCTACCTTTCCCTCTATAAGAAGCTGCAGTAGCTGTTATTTCTCATTTCTGTATATGTGTCCCAAATATGAGGTTTTCCGTGTTTTCATTATTTTTAAGAGTTCTCTGTCGGTACCCATCTTGTGTAGGACCTGCTCGTTGCTCATATGCGCTGTCCAGGGGACTTTCAGCATCCTTCGAAATAACCACATTTCAAAACTTTCCAAACGCCTGAGTGAGTTGATTTTGAAGGTCCAGGCCTCCATTCCATATAGTAAGGTGCTGTAAACGTAACATTTCAGCATTCGGTATCGGATTTTGAGATTGAGTGTTTGGGACGTAAACATTTGTTTCATTTTTAAAAAGACATTTCTTGCTTGTTCAATTCGCGATTTTATTTCTATGTCTGGATCTATATCTTTCGTTATCCAGCACCCTAGATATCGAAATCTCTAGACATTTTCGATAATGTTACCATTCACGTTTAAAGCCATGGGTGGATGGATGGATGTTTTGGAGACAATCATTGTTTTTGTTTTCTTGACGTTAATGCTGAGGCCGTATTGTTCTCCGATCGATCTGACGCGATCTAAGAGTGTCTAGAGATCCTGTGCGCTCTCTAGACACTCTTAGATCGGGACCGTGTCGTCGGCGTATCGTACATTATTTAGAACTCTGCCGTTAATTTTAACACCTTCTCTTGATTGCTCTAGTGCTCGTGCAAAGATTTCTTCCGAATATATATTGAAAAGTAGTAGTGACAATACACACCCCTGTCGTACACCTCGCTTGATATTGAATATTTCTGTGTCACCGGCTTCTGTTCTAACTGCTGCAGTTTGGTTAAAATACAGCCTTTGGATAATTTTAAAATCGTTCTCCTCTAGTCCCTTTTTGTGAAGGCAATTCATCAGCTTATCATGTTTTAATTTGTCGAAGGCCTTTTGATAGTCAATAAAACATAAAAAGAGATCCTTTTTTTGGTCTCGGCATTTTTGCAGCAGTATAATAAAACTGGTTAATGCTTCCCGTGTCCCAAATCCATTTCGGAAGCCAAATTGTTCATCACTGATATCCTGTTCACATTTCTTATAAATGCGTTGGTGAATAACTTTCAAGAATAACTTTAACATATGCGACATTAAACTAATAAGTCTGAAATCACCACACTTCTTTGCTCCCTTAGTTTTTGGAAGGGGAATAAAGACTGATTTTAACCAGTCTTGTGGAATTTCACCGCTTGTATATATTTGATTAAATAATTTGACGATTATATTTAAATGTTTCTCTTCCAGTAGCTTTATGACTTCCGTATGTATGTCATCGGGGCCACGGGCTTTCCCATTTTTTGCGTTTTTGATTGCTCTCTCTACTTCTTGTTTTAATATAGGAGGACTGGTTTCATGGTTTTTATATATTATGTTGTTTAGTGGTGTGTCCGAGAATAGTTCTTCTATGTAATGTCCCCATACGTTGTTTAGATCGCTTAATTCCCATATCGTTTCATTCTCGTCGTTTGTTAATCTACAAGGGAGTCTTTGTTTTGTCATTCCAGCTAGATCTTTTACTTTTTTGTGAAGCGTTTGACTGTCGTGTTTTTTTATTAATTCTTCGATCTCTTGGCAGTTTTCTGTCATCCAATTTCCTTTTGCGGTAACTATTTCTTTCTTGATTTGACGATTTATCTCCCTATATTTTTCATTATCTTTATTTTTGTAGGCTCTTCGAGTATCCATCATTCCCAGAATTTTTTGTGTCATCCAGGGTTTAGATTTTCTTTTGTTATTAGTGTCTTTTATATATTTCTCGGCGCTAGTAAAAGCATTCTTGACTTCAGTCCATAAGCCTTCTGTAGTTGGTGATAACTCTCTTTGGAGTCTTTCACATTCCTCGTTGAGTTTAGTCTTTACCATACTTTGTATATTTTCTTGTTTAAGTAAATTGATGTCGGTTTTTCTTTTGACAGTCTTTTTTAGCATTTTGAACTTTATTTTTAATTTAGCCACTAGTAGGTTGTGATCCGATGGAACATCTGCGCCTGGGTATGTTCTTGTATCCGTTACTGCATTTTTATATCGCTGGTTTATAATAATGTAATCGATTTGATTTCGGACACAATTGTTTTTATTATCTGCGGGTGATTTCCACGTATATAGCCTCCGTAGTGGTAGCTTGAACCAGGTGTTCATGATAGTTAGTTGTTTCTCCTGGCAAAATTGTAGTAGTCTGTCACCTCTATCATTGCGATTGCCCAGTCCGTAATTTCCACAAATATGTTCCACTTTTCCACAACCCACTTTGGCTTTAAAATCTCCTACGATTAATGTTGTTTCATAACTCTTTGTCATTTTAAGTAATTCTTGGAGATTCTCATAGAACTGCTCTATTTCATCATCCGACTTGTCAGCAGTTGGTGCATAAACTTGGAGTATGTTTTTGTTTACGGGCTTACTCTGTAATTTCAAAAGAAGCATTCGATCAGAATAGGGTATGAAATCAATTACTGCTTTTTTTATCTGCTCTGTTACTATAAGGCCTACACCATTCCAGTGTCAAGTCAAGTATGCCAGGTTGAATAAAACAGGATTAGTTTAGTTTAGTTATTTTAGATTTAAGTGTTTATCATCGTAACCACATCCTACAGGATAATTTCCAATATATTTTTTAATTTGATTTATTTCATCAGTTATTTTGTGACCACTTAATGCAGTTTTGTTAAACTATTGAAATTTTTTTTAAATACAATTAATGTCGGTCTGAAAGGGTTAACTTCCTACTTTAAACATCTTTTTATAAACAAGACTAAGCTCTTTAACCTCTTAGATTTACAAACACGTAACTTTAAAAATTAGAAACAAATATGTATATTGACAAAATATGATTTTGTTTATCTTATCACGAAAATTTCTTGAACTTTATAGTTAGAAATTTACGTAAATGGACCAGGTTTATCGGCGATTATGCAATTGTCGATAAAAGTATAAAATAAAACACAGTCAAATCAAACTTGCATTACTGTTCGCAAAGTAAAGTGTTTAATACAAAATGTTTAAAAATTTATTATTTTTTGTGGTTGCTGTTACTTTGGCTACCAGCACGTATTTTTCCGACGACGAAGAGTTTGAAAAATTCAAGGCAAGTTAGATGTTCACACAAAATTTTTAATGTACTTGTGCAACAAACAATATTATTTTATTTAGAAACATACTATCCACGTTCATCATGCAGGTTTTTTTATTTAGAAAATCGCATTGACCAAATAGCCATTACCGAAAAATTAATGGATTATATTAGGTACAATTACTGCATTATAATTTGGTTTATTAAATATTGTGGTACTTATTAATGTCTTTCAAGAAATTCTGAGTATTGTTAAAGTTACAGTCTGCACCTAAAGCTTACAGAAGTGTTCCTGGTATCTTGTTGTTACTTCGTTGTTGATTGTAGAGGGTACATTCACATAGTATGTGCATTATTTTTATCGTCCATTTCCATTATATTGATAGCACATTATGTATGCAAATCCCTAAACTGTTGATACGGGTGACTCAATGAAAAATAGATATTTGTCAACAAGTTTACAGAAGTATATAGGAAAACAATTTTAAATTGAGTCTGACCACCAGGTATAAAGGTTGAAGCAGAATAGAATACAATAGTTTTGAGGATTACTAATCCCTAAATAAAGATGCCAGTGTCGGAGTGATGGAGATTAACAGGTACTAATGAATTTGCAAGAAATGTAAGATGTTTATTTTATTGGTTTTATATAAAATAATTTGTGACCGTAACAGGGGCCGATTTGTAAAAAATGGATATTATTTTAATCAAATTCCATTTCAGACTCACTGCTTTCTTCAGAATCTAAGGAATCTTCAACTCCAATGTTAATTGTTACCGGTTCCAGAATTGCATCAGTCATATTATCCAAATTCCACATTTTATTTTCTTCCTTGTGAGCATGAATAACAGCATTTTTCCAATTTTCTGGAGTTACTTCTGATAAGTTGATAAGTTGAATGTTCTAATAATTGTTGTAAGTCTTCTAATTTAAAAGTTTTGTTGTTGCGTCCGACTTCACCCTTTACTTGAGACCATATGTTTTCTATCGGATTCAGATCACAGTGGTATGGGGGCAAACGTAAAATAATTACATCGCGGTTTAATGCCATTTCATCAATTATATATTTTTTATAAGCTGCTTTATGTTGCCTTACAATGGGTAATAATTCCTTTTTTGTCGAATTCTCCTTGTACTCAATTGCGTGTTTATCCAACCATTCGATTATCTCTCCTTTTTCCATGCCGTTGTTGGCAAAAAACGTCAGCAGTCATTTCCTCGTGGTAATCTTTGGTTGATTTTGAGGCAAAACTTAATAATCAACCATTGACAAAACCGTATTCGTTTCCAATATGGGTTATTATAAGTCTGCGTCCTTTTCCAACGGGAATATTGTTTATTCCAGTAGATACACCTTCGATGAATTCCTGACGGGAACTTTTCACATTTGTATCAACCCATAGATATGGTACAGTATGACCTTCATTTAGCCACGTCTCGTCCAAATAAAAAATTGTTTTCCCTTCTTCTCGGTACTTTTTATTAGTTATTAATGTCAATTAAAGTAATCAATTAAAACGGATTTTCTTCTATTCTTTTGCCAACGAAATCCCATCTCTCTCAATAGTCCGCATAATTTCTTGTTGCTTATGATTGGTAACTCTTCGTTTTCTCTAATTAATGTTTGGATTTTGTCCAATGTTGGAAATTCTTTGTTAAAAAAAAATGAGTGGACGCTGCGTCTTATCATGTTTTTATGTATTTCTTCAATTTCCTAGGGTTTACTCCCTCCACTCTTCTTGGGGGATGAAACAGTTCCTCATTTTCTTTCTTTTAGGAATCTATAAATTGTTGCTTCTCCAACCCCTGTCATATTTGAACACATGTTAACGATTTCACGAACATTACTTAAAGGGCGTTGATGTACAAGTGCATCGTGTACTTTTAATATTATATTTTTCTCTCTTAGACTGAAGGCACCTTTAAAACTACACTTAACCAGGATAAAACCTGTTGTCGACGTCATTTTTAAATGCAAATAACAAAATATCGACACCAAAAACGTAGGTAGGTAAGACATGAACAATGTACATCTACAAACTAAATGGAAGATGCAAACAATTTCTAATTTATATTATTGGCATAAGCTGTAATGTGGCATAAAAACTACTTAAACTATCATTAGTGAAGCATTATCAGTAATTCCAGGCAATCGTTCAAAGAAGGTATTCTTTTTGTGTCAGGCGATAACTTGTATAGAAGACAATAATCACCTTTAAATTACTGTTTACATTAATTTATTTCGTGAAACATTAAATTCTCTCGTTAATCACCCGTGTATAATTAACAATAATTGTGTGGCATATATACCGACGTTTTTTACGCACAAAAAAGGTATAGTGAGATTAGTGGACACTTATTTTACAGAAGATTTTTTAAAAGATAATGAATTGTTGACGGCATCTTAAAATATTAATTTTTTTATTTAATTCAAAACAAGTATAGGGTGATGCCTATGGTTTTTTGACCTGTTGAGGATTTGCATACATAATGTGCTATCAATATGATGGAAAAGGACTATAGTGTCGTATTACACGTTTCACATCGCGGCGGTTAGCACTTTTTAATTAACTAATCATGCGTTAACTATAGTATGTCTGAGTCTGTGGCGCGTTACTATTATTTCTTTTCTTCTTGACGTAATTAACACATTCCATGTCTCTATGCTGGGTTTCACTTGTTTTAATTTTGAATTCGACACATTCCATTTATTTTTCCACGCACCTAAGTGCTTTTTTTTATAGAAGCTTTTATATCCGTTGATACCGATGTCACAGAATAATAAACAAACAGAATACCCACTCTCCAGGGAAATTAAGTACGCGCATCTCCTCCGCGCAGACGTTCCGCCATGTTTTAGGAGGATTTTAAAGAAATTATGTGGTGTGCATGGAAAAATTAACCAGGTTTATTTGACTTACGGCAATCATAGACATACTATACAATTATATTAACATCGTTAAATATAATAACATAAATATAATATAATTAAACATAAATATAAAACAATTACATAACCACACAAATCATATGTCTGTGTCCTCCTAAAATATGGCGTGCGTGCTGAAAAACTTCAAAGGCGGCATCTGAGAGTGGCTCTTCTGATTGTTTATTATTCTGTGCCGATGTGTTTACGATTTTGAAAACGTCACTCACTATTGCCTCTGGATCCAGATGAAATTTATCTCATTATGATTGATATAAGCCTGAAGATGAAGAAGGACCTATCTAATTTTTTTTAAGAGCGGGTGTTTTGGATACAATTGTCAGATGCTTTGTATGGCACTAAGTGAGTCTGATAAGATAATATATTTGCAGTTTATTATCAAATTGATTAGTTTTATGGCGCGATAGAGACCATACAGCTGTAGAGATAGTACTAAAATTAGATAGTTTGAATTTAAGGAGCTTCTCTGGAATTACTACAGAGGCTCCCACACCTTCAGATGATTTTGAAGCATCAGTGCATATCTGGGTATGATTTTTATAACCACTAAGGATTTTTCTAAAATGGGAAATAATTAAATCATAATTAGTAGAGTTTTTATCAAATGATGTAAGTTCAAAGTTATATGATGGTATGTGTTGAATCCAAGGTGGATTATGTGTATGGAAGACAATCAGATATGACAATATCAAACAGATGCAAACGGTCTTTTATTTTTTTATAGAAAGGTTTAACAGAACGGTGATTTGCATTGCGGTTTAGGAAATTATCAATAAAAGTATTCCTATAGACAGGATTTTTTGCATTATCCTTAATTTTTGTTGCATACGTTAGACTAAGGTAAGCTCTTCTATCATTTAACGACAATTCATTTGCTTCGCAAAGTAAACTTTCAATCGGTGTTGTACAAAAGGCTCCCAGACATGAGTGCTGTGTTGTGAATAGTGTCTAGCTTTTTAAGTACATACTAATTTCGATGCTGAGTCGTAAGCTATAGCCGCGTAGTCTAGCTGTCATCGTATCATAGCTCTGTATATAATTAATAATGTACTTCAGTCTGAACCCCAATTCTGGTGTGCTAGAATTTTTAGTAAATCTAATTTTCTGTAACATTTACATATTAGACTATTGATATATTCTTTCCAATTCAACTTTCTGTCAAAAGTAACTCCTAGCAATTTGTTGTACTGAGTTTGTGTTTAGAAAATACTATATATTCAGTTTTAGTTCTTGTAAAGATAAACCAAACATTTCAATGAACAACTACTTAATATAAGCTTTATAGCTATATTTTAATATTCTTATATTTTACTGTTTTTAGAAAGACTACAACAGAAATTATGCTACTCCTAATGAAGAACAGCATCGTAAAGGAATTTTCGTTAATACTTTAAATAAAATCAAAGAGCACAATGCCAAATACGAACGAGGAGAAATTTCTTATTCCTTAGGCATAAATCAATTCGCTGACCTTACCCACGAGGAATTTGCAAGTAGATATACAATGAAAAACTGGGTAGAGCAACAGAAAAAACTTGCTGAGAAACATGCCGCCAAGAATTAATCTACAGAACAATCGTAAAATTATACAGTTAATCGGTAAATCATGGATATGATAGAAACAATAAAACTAATTAGTTAACACTTGTGTTTGAAATAATAAATTTTTAAATCATGAATGTGTTGCCTGTGTGAGTTCATTTCAAATAGGTAAAAAAGAAATAAATAAGACTTACCAAATCAGTTTAATTTAACTACCTAGACTACCGGTTTCGTTTCTACAATTTGCAAAGCATCTTCAGGTCAGTCGGTACAAAGTTAATTAAATGATGCCGGTACACGATTTATTAATGAATTGAAGAACATAGTTCAAACTATCCTGTAATTGCTGATGATGGGGATCTCGGGTTTTTACTTTTGTAACTGTTTGATAATTAACGGGGAAGTTTCTTGAGGAGATAGATATTAACCAATAAAGTAGAAATAAGGTATAATATGATTCTTTGTTAAATGAAAGTGATGTTCTGTATTATATAATTCATTAAAAGTTATTTATATTTATTCAAAAGATATATTTTCGAAATGTGTGTTTTTTTGGTAGTCTTTCTTTCCCCATACATTTAACATCTCCGTACCATGTCAGTTGTTGTTTTTCGATGTCTTCTATAATTGATCTTTGTACATTCATTTGATTCCTTATGTCCTCATTTCTCACATGTTCTAATCTAGGTATTAAACCATAGTGCCTATACTGCTTCCATGACGAAGCAGTATAGGCACTCTGATTTAATACTTTGAGTTTGTTTTTAATCCGACGTCGGCCAACGTCGCCAGATATCGGATCGGGAGAAATACGGTTCCAATGTAGGTGTACACTTAATCAAATCGACGGGGGCCACTATTGCACACGTTAGTTTAATACCAATACTAACTCTTGTTAGTATTACTAGTGTGTTATTAACTCAAATATCATTTTTCGTTTTAGTTGTGGCCACTTTTGCACTATGCGCCTCAAATATATAAACAAAATTGAGCTTAGGTTTACAGAAAATATACGTTAACACGTTTGGTGCAAAGTTACCCTGCTCAGTGCAAACTAACCCCGGTTTAAGGTACGTTGTTTGTAATATTAGAATTATCCTGTAAAGTTAATTATTTCTCATTAACACCAAATAAATATTAATGTATGCATTTTATAGAAAATCTCATATATATAATTTGTCGGAGTAAAAAATCTGGAAGCTTTTGTTAAACTTCTGCAAATCATCCACGCTATTTATTATTAACGACCTCGTTCACATTTTTTAACGATCTGTTCAGACCAGCAAATTCGCTATGAAAAGTGAAATCAAAACGGGTAATAGTCCAAACATTGGGAGCACACACGCGCTACATATGCTTCCCTTTTATTACGTACTACCCTCCGCTACTTAGCAGATTAATCTACCCTAAACGTATTGAATATTGCACCACTTTATTACATCATTAATTACAGAAATTATCTCTCATGGGAGAGAATGTTGACAGGATGCAATATGTATTATTTGCTTGTAATTAAGGAATGTGTAGTCCCTCTCCGATTGCCAAACGATATCTAATGATAATCTTAATCTGTAAATCTAGGATGATAAGTATTCTTCCATTGTAAGTTTTTGTTTTGGTAAAAACTTATAATTCTTCTTTTTGTCTGTATTAGAATAAAATATTTATTAAAAATCCTTTGTAATAGGTATATATTAAGAACCCAAACGGACAACCTTAAGTTAAACAGAAAAAACGTTTTCGGAATCAATATTCCATCATCAGTGTCTAGGAGTACATGAATGTAGCCACTAAATATATGGGTAAAAACCCGTTAACAAATAATTAATTACATTTGGTTTACAAAATTTCTTATAATGATTTAAGATGTTAAAGTTACCATTGGATTAGGTAACATGGCGACATATGACTCCACGTTGAAGTTGCCAGTCCTGAGACAGTGTGTCTACGAAGACTGTATGGGAGCAACTGTAGCATATATGGGACTGTATGGGGGCATATATGGAAGCCTTTCACAGTGTTGGTTGATACGTCGGGCTACACAGGATATGACCAATTTATACAGAGTTGGAAGACAAGTAATTGGGCGGTACTTGGTTGGATCTTGGGTGTGATTTTGATCTTTTGGGAATTAAATAAGCTATTTCCTGGGTTAGGAAAGATGGTACTTCCTGCGGATTAGAAATAATGTGATTAATTATTACTAATAAGCACTCATGAATACTCCAGAACTTCTTGAGCCAGAAGTTCTGAACTCCATCTGATCCAGGAGATTTCCAGCTATAAAGCTCTTTGATAATATTCGAAACTTCTTCATTAGTGAAGGGTTCGTAGGGAGCAGTAACGTAGTGTTGGCAGTGGTGAGCCGTATCTTGGATCCATCCAGCATTGGTGTTAAGAGCAGCTTAATCATTATTATTGAATAAAAATAAGTTTGTTATATTATCACTCAATACTCAATACTTATTTCTACTTACAAAAATATAATGTATTCCCGAAATTTGAAGGAAAGTTGTAACCTCGGAAATCTTTTTTGGGTGGTGCTAGAAAGATAACCAATGGAGACACTGCGGACGGCAGCCAGATGGTTGGTGGAAAGCGAGTCGTGGGTTCGAAACTAGCTTTTGGAACCGGGAATGGATCCAACGAAAGAAATAGGTAAAGATAGGATAAGAGATATTAGAAAAGATACAGAAATAAACAAAAAGATAGATGGGTAAAATTACCAAAGATAAGAGAAGATAGAAACAGGGCGCCACTCAATTTTTTGGGGTTAAGGAGAAAATTAAGAAAACCTTAGAAAAGAAAGAGATAAGAAAAGATATTTAGGTTTAGAGATCAAACCCAAGGAAAGATACCAACAGTAAATTATCAAATAAATCTGGTCAACGCAATATATAAACAAATAATAAATATATTAAGTATTACACTTACTTACCTACGAAACTTAATCAGCCTGATCTTTGTACAGTTCAAAAGCATAGTAATATTTAAAGATAGTAATTGTTCAGAGCTATTATTTTATCAGGGAACTTGTTAGGAGCCGACAAATAAAATACATGCATAAAACAATAACAATATATTAAACACAAAATTATGATGCTGCTAAATGCAACCCAGGTAATAAAAATACACAACTATGAAATGGTGTTATATATGTATAAAATTAAGCTATAATGTAATAAAAAAATATCTTTACCAATATGTATAAGGCAATCATATACAAATATAGTTTGGCGTATCTCGAGATATCATAGGAAAGATAATGAACAAAAATTATAGGAAATACAAAAGATAGCAAAAATTACTTAACTCTAAATTTACAAAAAAAAAAAGGTTACAAGAATGAAAACATAAACCAAACCGCACTTGGCTAAGTCAATTAACTATCTCGCACTATTATTTAATAAAAAAACTGAGACTTGTATGTTCATAGGTAATATTTATAGAAATTTCTTGAATGGTTCAATTACATTCAAAAATCGGCAATCTTCAGGTGAAGATATAGATGATACGTCCAGATAATGGCAGGTGATATGGTACCATACCATATTACTCACCCAGATAATTGTAGATAAAATTACTTACAGTAGATCTTGACGAAGGCAGCTTAATTCACTGAATTTAATACTTTTCTGGTACTAAACACTGAATTTAATAACCATTAAAGGTAGTGTAGAACTATATATAATTTAATATAGTCTAAGGAAAGAAAACTCAAATATAAAGTGTATACACACGTAGAAAATAATTCACAAAGACGGTACGATAAGAAATAAAGTGAGCAAAGCGTAACACGAGATATTGGCCTTAACTCAACAACGGCCCACCAACAAGTAAGTTGGTTCCATTCAAAATTTCACCAACTGTCCCTGAAAAAGGAAGAAGAAAATATTCCCCCACTCAAGAATGATAGGACAGTTGTATGTGTTTCTCAGAAGGTAAGGCCTTAACGACTATTGGAAACTTTGAGGTAAAATAATCGGTATTAACAATTGGACATAAGAAACAGACAATACTTGGGATTAAGTTATTGTCAAAAGAAACGGAGCCTTCGACGAAAATTACCAATTTATGAAAAGAAACCGAATACCAGAAAGCATTATACTCTTTTCATAATGAATATTATGACGGAAGGATTAAAAACCATTCCTAATTAGGGAATTCCATTTTAGCTGGGTATCTACAATATTTTGCTATCGATACACGATCATACGCGTATCGCACGGGGGTAAAAGGAATTAGAAATATTTAATATATTAATAATAAAAAAAATGTTACAAAGTAAAACAATCTCGAAAAATAACGAATTAAGAGAGAATGGTATTTAAAAATTAAAGATTATCATAAATACAATATTTCTAAAAAATTGAGAAAATCGTAATTTTGTTTTGTAGTTCACCCTGTATACAAATTTTAGTGTATGCATTACTTCTTTATATACATAGTGTTGATTTCATAGGGATTTCGAAATAAAAATAGTCATAACTTGTTAAATACCCTATACAGTAATGCAAAGCAAAATATTATAAGAACAAGAATTATGAGAGGAATATAGATATATAGGGTGTCCCATTTAAAAAATTGTATGTTTGCTATACCACGTAGAATCACCCTGTAGAATTCCGTATATTTTCCAAGTATGGAGGATATCGTTGCCTACATTGTTTCTAAATAAGTTTTTTGTATATCTTACCACAAAGGAATTATCGACCAATATCGCACTAAAAACGCCTATATATTTAAATAATAAACCTAAAGCTATTAAGATTATTATTATTATAAAAAATAATATCAAATATTTAAACTATCCTTGTTATTTTATTGTTGCAAAAAAAGTTAAGCGTGTTCTTTCGATATAAAACAAGATGCCGGTATCTTTCTGCACGAGAAAATCCATTTAAATCAGATAGATACCATATTTCTAATGGTTTTCTATAGAAAGGTATTTGATTGAATGGAATTCAGTCAAGACGAAAGACAAATTGCGCCAAATATCTCGATCAAAGGGTTGTATACCGTTGTTTGTATGTTTTTATCGAACCGATTGCCGACAAAGGAGCCACGAACGTGAAAGTGATGTTACCAACAGATAGCTTTATATCGGTAACAAGTAGATTGTGTATAATATGGGAACAGTTTATATAAAGCAAAATATTGAAGAATGCTGTAATAGTTACTGTTTTTATAACACTTTTGTTAATATTTTAATACGTATTTTAATATGTAGCTAAGTACTTCGTGATTGGTCTGTAGTATTTCTACTTCTAGATGACATAAGTTCTTTTCCGCACTTATATTTTTTAGTCTCTCTATGACACTTTTGCAATCTGTAAATATAATACATTTGAGTCTATACGTCCTAAGTATATATTTTAGAGCTTCACTTATTGCAAACATTTCTGCTGTATATATCGTTGCCTCATCTGGTAATCTGAACTCTTCATGATATTTTGAGGTGTGATCGTAAAAAGTGGCAATTGTACGAATTTGTTTTGATCCATCGGTGTAAATCTGATAATAGTCAGGTCATCGTTG